CCCTAGAAAAAGAGATTTGCTGGGGACTGAAGACTTATCAGGAGTGTGATGACAAGGCCTCTGAGCAGAACACCTTAATGACAGCCTGTAATTTTATAAAATGTTTGGATTAAAAGCAGCATTTGAAATAAACTTTAGGTTTGGAGGTCACCATTTTCTTTGAACTTCACTTCAAATAGTATGTTGTGCTGCTAAACCCAGCAGAGTGGCTAGGCAGCCTGCTTCACTAAAGGCGAGTTTAAAATTACAGGGCCCAAAGTTAAATTTACATACCACAGGCCCCAAGTATATTTACCATCTTATGCAAAGATTACATGACTATTATAAACTGCAAATCCTTTCTAAAAAGCTCACATGCTGCAGCAAGGAATGAACTTTACTGGTCCTCTGGTAAATTTTACACCTTTTTCCAGAGTACAGAGACGGTTTCAGTTTGCCATCAGACATATGTGTGTATTCAGCACTCTTCGAAGTATTTTAACTTGCGGGGTGGGCTGGGAGGCGGGGATTGGTAAGGTTTTTTTGGCACTTCCAGAGAGACTCAATAAAAGTGGTATTAACTGGAAGGGTTTTCTGCCAGTTCAGAAGTGTTTCCAAAATGCAACTAAATCCAGCCCCTTGGCTGCATTTTTATTATTGCCTTAGTTGGATTTGTGTTACACAAATGTGTACACAAATGTGCAACAGAATCAACACGTAGATCGACAGTAACACACTGATCAATTTATTTGATGTGGCAAAGGGGAGACAACCTTGATCCCTCCTTAACAACTCAGTTTGCAATGCTGCGTGTTGCAGAAGGCACTGCTGTTCGGCTGACAAGGCTGAAGATCTTTCTCCCACGAAAACTGATGGCCCTGCTAGAGAGCTGACCTCATTCCTCTTACAGAAGACAAAAAAATGCTTCAACAAAGATGTTCAGAAGGTGAACTGCAGGCTCTCCCGGTCTCTAGAGTAAACCTGAACCACAGTGGGCTTCCTCAGTGTCAGCTCATGCGCAAGTGACAAATACTTCTGAACAATGTGCTTTGAGTATGTAAGCATGTGCGCCCGTGTATGTGCACGCACCCATTTGCACACAACACAATCTAGAAGGTAGACCGTCTTGCATTTGAAGTTTAGGTAAGGTCCACCTGGAATTGAATCTGGCAAGGGATGTCAAGGACAACAAGAAGGGCTGCTTCAACTACATCAGCAGCAAAAGGAAGGCTAGGGCTAATGTGGGACTGCTGCTGAATGAGGTGGGTGTCCTGGTGATGGAGGATGCGGAGAAGGCAGAGCTACTGAATGCCTTCTTTGCTTCAGCCTTCAGTGCCAAGGCAGGCCCTCAGGAGTCCCATGCCCTGGAGGTAAGAGAAGAAGCCCACAGAGAGGATGACTTTCCCTTGGTCAAGGAGGACTGTGTGAGGGATCGCTTAAGCGATCTGGACATCCACAAATCCATGGGCCCCGATGGAATGCACCTACGAGTGCTGAGAGACCTGGCGGATGTCATTGCTGAGCCACTCTCCATCATCTTTGAAATGTCCTGGAGAACAGGAGAGGTGCCCAAGGACTGGAGAAAAGCCAGTGTCACTCCCATCTTCAAAAGGGCAAGAAAGAGGGCCCAGGGAACTAAAGGCCGGTCAGCCTCACCTCCATCCTCGGAAGGATGATGGAGCAGCTCATTCTAGAGGCCATCATCAAGCAAGTGGAGGAAAAGAAGATTATCAGGAGTACTCAACACGGATTCACCAAGGGGTAATCATGCTTGATGAATCTGATTGATAGCTTTCTACAATGGTGTGACTGGCTGGCTAGATGAGGGAAGAGCTGTGGATGTTGTCTACCTCGACTTCAGCA